GTAATAAAACTCTCAATTACGTAAAATGTCAAATTAATATTTCGATAACATTTACAGAAAAAACATTTTTAACCTGTCTTGTTTATACTTGATCTATATTCTGCTCTAATACTTCATAGGATTACATGGTTCTGCTGAATGCCGTCGTGATGGATTTGGCGGCCATCTTGAAACTTCAATACAAGTAATAAAACTTTTAATTACGTAAAATGTTAAATTAATATTTCGATAACATTCACAGAAAAAACATTTTTAACTTGTGTTGTTTATACTTGATCTATATTCTGCTCTAATACTTCATAGGATTACATGGTTCTGCTGAATGCCGTCTTGATGGATTTGGCGGCCATCTTGAAACTTCAAAACAAGTAATAAACCTCTCAATTCCGTGAAATGTCAAATTAATATTTCGATAACATTCACAGAAAAAACATTTTTAACCTGTGTTGTTTATACTTGATCTTAATTCTGTTCTAATACTTCATAGGATTACATGGTTCTGCTGAATGCCGTCTTGATGGATTTGGCGGCCATCTTGAAACTTCAATACAAGTAATAAACCTCTCAATTCCGTGAAATGTCAAATTAATAATTTTATAACATTCACAGAATCTTGAAACTTCAATACAAGTAATAAAACTTTTAATTACGTAAAATGTTAAATTAATATTTCGATAACATTTACACAAAAAACATTTTTAACCTGTTTTGTTTATACTTGATCTATATTCTGCTCTAATACTTCATAGGATTACATGGTTCTGCTGAATGCCGTCGTGATGGATTTGGCGGCCATCTTGAAACTTCAATACAAGTAATAAACCTCTCAATTCCGTGAAATGTCAAATTAATAATTTTATAACATTCACAGAAAAAACATTTTTAACTTGTGTTGTTTATACTTGATATATATTTTGCTCTAATACTTCATGGGATTACATTAGTCTGCTGAATGCCGTCTTGATGGATTTGGCGGCCATCTTGAAACTTCAATACAAGTAATAAAACTCTCAATTCCGTGAAATGTCAAATTAATAATTTTATAACATTCACAGAAAAAACATTTTTAACTTGTTGTTTATACTTGATATATATTTTGCTCTAAAACTTCAAGGGATTACATTAGTCGGCTGAATGCCGTCGTGATGGATTTGGCGGCCATCTTGAAACTTCAATACAAGTAATAAAACTTTTAATTACGTAAAATGTTAAATTAATATTTCGATAACATTTACACAAAAAACATTTTTAACCTGTTTTGTTTATACTTGATCTATATTCTGCTCTAATACTTCATAGGATTACATGGTTCTGCTGAATGCCGTCGTGATGGATTTGGCGGCCATTTTTGAACTTGCCCAGTAGACTTTTTGCTGCTTGTCGGATATTTGCCATACATGTGTCTGCCGTGCAACACACTGGGGTTTACCGCCCAATCGTTACATTATGAATTCATAAATTATAACATTACAATACAAACTCTTGATAACATAATAACAATAATGTTAATAAATATAAACACTATAAATGTACATTTTTACAATAACTTAAAAATTAGTTTTTGTATTTAATTGTCAATTTATTAACGTATTACCCGGTTATATAGGTGCATGCACTTATATGTGAGTTTTCACACAAGGGGTGCACCTATATCCGGAAATAGGTGCGGTAGTTTTTGGCATATTTTTGACTTTTCATTGAAATTTACTTATACTTTGAAATGACATTCGTATGGTATATTAATAAACTTTGTATTCTAACATGCGACTTTTAATGTTTGAAGTGTAATATTATATGTATTTTCTTATCTATTGGTGAGTTTCATGAATAATGAGTACATTAGTGTGAAATATCTCATATAATGAACATGTCTTCAAGTGATGAATCACTTCAAATAAACAGTGAATCAATGTACGAATTGGATATAAATGAAAAAATCAGTGATTAAAATGTGACACAACATAAAACGTGATCAAAATCACACTAATTTAATTTACTACGCATTAATTAATTGAATTTTTATAAATAATTTTGACAAATAAATATAATAATAATAAATAATAGGTGTTTTATTTAATGAACTTGGCGTTGAAATACAATGATTGTTATAAATGATCAATAAATAAATTAATTACAATTTTATAATTTGTTTTATTTTTTATATGTATTCGTAGATAATTAAAAACTTTTATACAAAAAGGCTTTGTTCACAAAATACATACGCATTTTTAAACTACAATTCAGTACGAATAATGTGGTTTATAGGATCGTTTGGCTAACCCCTCCCCCCGGCCTTCCCCCGCTCTATGGGATTTAACATGGGAGTACAGTTTAAGTCTATGGCTATACTTTAACATGGGTAATGCTAATTCTATGAAGCTTTTTCCATAAACTTATCATGGGCTAATGTTATCCTATAATTAATGTTAATCCTATGGGAAAAAATTCCCTACGGGAAAGCGAAATATGAACTGAAAGGGTAGTTTTTCTCCATGTTAATCCTATGATACTAATGATAAGTCTATGGGAGAATGCTTTAACATGAGTGTCTATCGGATTACAGCTTAAGTCTATGGTATAGGGATAACATGGGTAATGCTAAGTTTATGGACAATGATAAGTCTATGAGTAATGCTAAGTCTATGGCATTGGATTAACATGGATAGTTCTAAATGTATGAGTAATGCTAATTCTATGGAGTTGATTCTGATCTATGGACGAAGATAAATCTAATGCTTTATAGTAGATTTCTATGAGATAGCCAAATAAATATCAGCAATCATATCAGAAAATTTTCAAAATACAAACAATAAAATAAAATAACAATGAAAAATGTTGAAAAATGATATTCATATAACAATTCTTTAAAAATTAAAATTTCAAAATACACTTTAAACACGCAGTATGCAAAGACTATCTATTTTTTAACAATCACTCGAATTGTGGTTAACGTATAGCATCGCTGTGTGTGAGTAATACCCCAATTGTGGTTAACGTATAGCATCGCTGTGTGTGAGTAATACCCNATTACTCACACACAGCGATGCTATACGTTAACCACAATTGGGGTATTACTCACACACAGCGATGCTATACGTTAACCACAATTCGAGTGATTGTTAAAAAATAGATAGTCTTTGCATACTGTGTGTGAGTAATACCCCAATTGTGGTTAACGTATAGCATCGCTGTGTGTGAGTAATACCCCAATTGTGGTTAACGCATAGCATCGCTGTGTGTGTTGTTTAAGTTTATAACATATAAATTTAGTGATTTTTCTTTAAACTTTTCCAATCTTTTTGATTGTATTGTATTGTATATCAAACATAAATTAGAATATTCTAATACCGGTAAAATGTATGTCTGATCTAACCTCAAAAACACATTACCATAGACTCTATTGCATATATTTCTCAATGTATAAAATTTCTTGATAGCTTTTTCGCATAACATAAATGACAAATGTATTTAAAACGTATCTAAATGACAATTAAATGATATTTTAGAGTCATATATGATGCCAACGTGTTTATGAGACTTTACATTATTTAATGATATATTGTTTAGCGTATATTCATGTATATTTATGCACTTATATTTGACTATTACATAAGAGGTGCACTTATATCCGGATATAGGTGTGGTAGTTTTGGTGACATGCAAAATCTGTAAAATTCACTTACACTACAAACCATAATTATCGACCCAGACGTTTGTTATTAGTACAGGGAAACTGCTTAAATTAGCTTATAAAACTTTTCACTGTTGTATACGTTAGTTATCCAGTTATTAATCGCATTAATGTATTTTGTAAAATAATAATCAAAGATTAGATTTTTAGGTGTTTTAGAAAACGTCCCGAAAAAAAACTTTTTTGTTGTGTGCAAAATCACAAATATTAAAACACCATTCTGTAGTAAATTACAAAAGAATATATTTGATGTCCTACACGACTTATTTGACCTTTAGACATGGCAGCAATTAAGCAACAAAAATTGTCAAAAATACCGAATTTTCAAATGTGAAAAAATATTAAAGCTTACAGCTAGACAGTATAGCAAAATTTTGAACCCCGTTTTAAAATAAGCTTCAAAAATGTATAATATATTTCCGTGCCATTTATAGAGGTCCTGTAAAATCAATTAACTTTTTTTTGAACACTTTTGATTTTACGTAATTGCTGCCATGTCTAAAGGTCAAATGGGTCGTGTAGCACATCAAATTTATTCTTTTGTAATTTACTACAGAATGGTGTTTTAATATTTGTGATTTTGCTACAGACAAAAAAGTTTTTTCGGGACGTTTTCTAAATCACCTAAAAATCCGATCTTTGATGATTATTTTAATAAATACATTAATGCGATTAATAACTGGATAACTAACGTATACAACAGTGAAATGTTTTATAAGCTAATTCAAGCAGTTTCCTTGTACTAATAACAAACGTCTGGGTCGATAATTACGGTTTGTAGTGTATAAGTGCATGCACCTATATGCGGGTTAATACGATACGATTTTTGGTGAAAAGTTATAAAATAAATTTATTTATTTTTAAGAAATATGTTTTAGGTATTATTTATTTTAAAAATATGCCAAAATCGGGAATATTTGGGATAATAAAAGTGGTATATTTTTACTCTATAATAACTCCTAAGATTAAATAGATGTTATTCCCTAACATTTTATCAACTAATTTCAATCGGCAATTCCCGAAGAATCTCGTCTTTAGATATAACTGTAAAGTGATTAAAGTTTTGTTTTTGTATGAGATACAAGTAAACCTCTTAACGATTGAGTAATGTGCATTTACTCATTATACGGGCGAAATTGTACTAGTTTGTAAAGTTAACGATAATTTAACAGTGAATTGAATGCTATCTCGTGTTGAAAACATATACCAAACCATTGAATGCAAACAAAACTGGTTTTTCTCATATAAACAAACCATTTGTTTGACAGCAAAAACAAATGCATTGAAAGTATTTCCACAGACTTGTTATGTGTGTCACACAAAATGTGATACATTTATATCACGTTCAATATTACCTTTAATTATATTATTAATAATACTTATCATAAATTGTATTCAAATCAATGAGTTTTGAATGAATGTCAATGAATAATGAAAACCATATGACAATACATATATGTATTGAATAGTGTACAACAATTTTACATTCAGTGTTTATGTTATGTTAATTATAGTTACAGTTATATACTATCGTTAAAATCTATTGAAATATACACTTCTCCCTAACTATTGGTATATTAAGTGATATTTAATGTAAAATAATATTTTTTTCTTCGTTCAAAATACAGGTTTGAATGTATGTATTGGCGGAGAAAATATGTTTTATTTTCACCATAATTTATAATCACATTTGATTTTTCCACTGCTTATTGCTATTAAATAATGTTATTTAAGTTTTTTTTTTACTTTCCTTAACAACACTTTACAGACCAGAGTATCTCAGAGAGACTATCAGTGAATAAAATCTATCACTTTTTAAATGTGTTAATCGTTTTGTTGAAACTATTTGTTTAAGTAGTGTTTGATATTTGTTTTGAAAATTTATATTTATTTTAAAAATTTATATTTGTTTTAATTTTGACTTTGAATGCAATTAATTAATTGTTTAAAATTTGTTTTCGCAGTTGTTTTCGTAGACTTTCATTGCATTGAATATAACGTGAAGTGATTTATTTGGGATCAAAATGAGTGTCAATTCTGGGAAACGATTGATCGGAAGATTTTTGCGGATCATTTTGGACACAATCGCGGCTCTCATTGGCTACAGATATCCGACACAACGCCGATATTTGCCGCCGATTGACAATCGCATACTTCTTGAGTCGGCCACAGATATCGCCGCACAAATCAAATCGCGAAAAGTATTATTACATTCATGTGTTATATAAGCATTTTTGTTGTCAATGTTTGACATGTTTTTTGAAGCTAAAAATACACCCGTTTTCCATAGTATTGTTGCTAAATCCTATGCCATTCCCTTTTTTACCATGTTTTATGTACCGTATATTACACAACCAAATGTTTTTATGGCATTTATTATGTATGCTATTGAATGCTAACTGGCCTTCAATTTGCCTCTCTATGTGTTTCTCTCATATGAATTGCAATACTTTTGAATCACTTATTATTTTTAGTCTAAAAATATATATAATTTTCGTTGAAAATGTTGAAAACATTTTCCATTTGAAGTGTCATTTGTTTCGCTTTTCTATGCAATCGTTCACTAATTGAAGTATTAGTTATGTTTCAATTGAAATATTTTATAAATATAGTTTCAAAGTCCAGTCTTTGTACCCGTTTTTATGCACTAATTGTTTAAATTGAGATTAAATTGTTGGAATCATTATTTGTAGTAATACTTTGAGACCCATTCAGGCACTTGACTCCCACCGATTAATACCCTGATAATTTATATTATATAAATTATACATGATAAAGTTTTCCATTATTTTACCGTTATATACGTATCACAATTTTTAACATGTTTTATAACGTGACACAAAACACCCATTATTTGAATAATTAGTTTTTTATATTAGTTAATTTAGTAATGATTATCTGTTATTTTCAATCAATTAATTGAAAAGTATTTTTATTTGTAATAAGCGCTAAATTCTGTAGTAAAATATTTGATAGAAATATTTTCAATCAATAATTTACTTTCAAACAGAATCTAATCAAACATTTATCAGAATATTCTATGCATTCATACAATAAATGCATTAATTTAATAATGAGATTAAATTTTCTACACATTGTATATATTATTCCGCCCTTTCGTTGGCAACCATTGCTTATTCGCATAGAAATCAATACTAATATCGATCTAAATATGAATACAGTCCAACTTCTCTATAATGAACGGCCAGTTGCACGACAAAAGTGTTCATTATAGGGAGGGTTCATCCAAGGGAGGTTCTGTTATAGGTATAGAAAACCCAAAATATATCTCAAAACCGTTCATTCAAAGGAGGTGTTCATCCAAGAGAAGTTCACCCAAGAGAAGTTGGACTGTATTATTGCATAAAAAACATCAAATCTAACTTTTATTCATTGCATTTGTATCGCAGATCACCAGCGAAGAGGTGGTGAGGGCTTACATTGATAGGTGCCGTTCAGTACAGCCGCACATCAATGCCATCATTCAAGACAACTACGACGAGGCGCTCAAAGAAGCCAAACAAGTGGACAGACGGGTGCGGGAGGCGGCGGTCGGCCAGTCGTTTGAATCGCAGCCCTTCCTCGGAGTGCCCTTCAGCTGCAAGGACTCGATTGCTATAAAGGATTTCCTGTGGACGTCGGGTCTGTACACGAGGAAAGGCATCACCGCCGACGCCGACAGCCATGTGATCGCTTTGATGCGAAAGTCTGGCGCCATATTCATAGCGTTGACAAACATCCCGGAGCTCGGCATGTGGTGGGACTCCTATAATAAGCTGTACGGCCGGACGTACAACCCGTACGACAAGTCAAGGATTAGTGGCGGCAGCTCTGGCGGCGAAGCGGCGCTCATATCGGCGGCCGGTTCTGTGTTTGGCGTATGTTTTTTTTTGAAAACTCTGCATTTTCTTTGGGCATTGAATTAGTGGTAAATTTAATGGATGTCTTTATCGATAGGTGGGCGCAGATATTGGCGGCTCTATCCGTATGCCGTGCTTTTTCTGCGGCATCTTTGGCCATAAGACCACTCCTGGTGTTGTGTCCACCGACGGAATGTATCCGGACGCGTCTCCCAAACGGCAAACACTGCTATCTATTGGACCTGTAATTCATATTTATTGACTACTAGTTGTGAAGGAATCAATTAATTGTCTTATATTTTATATGGCATTTAGATGTGTCGATACGCTTGTGATCTGAAGCCAATGCTGCGAGTGATGGCCGGCGATAACGCGGCGAAGTTAGAGTTGGACAAAGCGGTGGATCTGAACAAATTGAAGTTTTATTACATGGAATCCGATGGCAACTCATTTCACACACCGATTCAGCCGGAAATACGGGACGCCATTCACAAAGTGATCGGCCATTTCACCAAAAAGGGCTCCTTCTCTAAGAAGGTGTATTTCAAGCAATTCAAGTACGGCCTCGAGATGTGGCTCACGGCCATGAAAGACCCCTCAGCGCCCAAAACGGCCCGACATTTGGCCAATTTGAACGGCGAAATCAATCCGTTGGTCGAGTTTTTCAAGTCTCTCATCGGTCTCTCCAACCATACGGTCTGTGCCTTAACTCTATGTGTGTCCGAACTGATCGCCAAAGGAGTCAACAAATCCCGGTTTGAAGAGATGCGACAGAATTTGATCCGCGAATTGCATTCACTTTTAGGTTTGGTTTTGACTCCAATCGTGTCCTCAATAGATAGTGTTTAACTAATTGTATTGTTTTTGTTGACAATCCATAGGCAAAGACGGTATTCTCATATTTCCCGCACATCCAGAAGAGGGTGAGTATTGATTAGAGTTGTGGTGATTATCTTAAGGTATCATTAATGGTATTATATCTTCCATATCTATGTCTTCAGCCGTCAAACACAACTCAACACTCCTGAAGGTGTGGAACGTGTCGTACACTCAACTGTTCAATACCCTCAACGTTGCCATCACTTCCGTGCCGTTAGGGCTGAGCAGATCCGGTCTTCCGATCGGTCTTCAGATCATATCGTCGCCATTGAACGACAGGCTGACCATCGCTGTGGCCGAAGAGCTCGAGAGGGCGTTCGGCGGTTGGGTTAGCCCAACGGACATCACGTGTTAGACTATATTTTTGTTATTAATTATTATTAAGTTTTTTTAGGCAAATATCTTATCATAAAATACATATTGACTTAAAATCGATGCCATAATCGGCGACAGTTTTGTATAATTTTTGTTAAAATTAAGCCCAAGTTTTGGATTTGCATTTAAGATATTTCTTAATTGAATTCAAGCGACAATTTTAGTGTAAATTCAAATCAAATATATTTAATATATACTGTATTTCCAAATATTAGCACAATTTTTATTATAATTTATGCTTAAAACGAGAAAAAACTTATAATATATTCGCTTAAAAAAGTAATTATTATGTAATATTATACCCGATTTTTATTTGTGTTATTTGTAATGAAAAGTATATTTTGGTCGACGAAATAATTGATGGAAAAAATGATAAATAAAACAACATTTGATTTAAAGCCAAAAATAGATATGAATTGATTGAAAAATATCGCACAATAAGTGAGACAATAATTGTATCATTTTTATGATACTTTCTAATGAATTGGAGCGCAAATAATGGGTCATTAAAATCATCAAAAATATGTGAATTTTTGTTGAAAATCTCACTTTTTTTATTACACTTAAAGTTATTTATGTTTTTTATTATTATGTAATTGTGATCCAAATTTGAAGGTAAACTCAAAACAACAAAAATATATAAAAATAAAAAAGTGAAAGTAATCCACGATTTGATGTCCAATTAATGTCATTAAATATAGTCCATCGGAAATACCAATAGTCTATATTGAGTGTTAATAAAACAATTAGTATTTTGTTTTATTATCAAAATTGGGTTTAAAACACAATTTAATGAAATAAATATTGTTTTTGAGGTCTACTATAAATACAGCACAAAATAAAAGTGAAAACCTATTAATTTTCACTATCGATTCAAAAACAAATATTTAAGTTAAGCAAAAAATATCAAAACAAATGTCGATTAGATTAACGTTTTCATTATTAACCATATTTACTCTCATATGCTGTGCTCTTTGCGTCGACTGGCCCTACAGGGACTGCGGTAAGTGTCTGTATTATTTGATAAACTTGTTTAAAACAAAATTTACATTAAAATATTGCCACTAAATTAACCATAATTCAATTACATACAAAACATGTAGCTAAACATGAGATAACAAGCCTACGTATAGAGCCGTGTGGGCACAGGCCGTGCACTTTCAAAGCGGGCGATACCGTAAACATAACGGTAGAGTTTGTGGCCAATCAAAACACCGATTCAGTCAAACTGTTTGGTTCGCTTCGGACGGGAGGCCTGTTTGATGTGGAGGTGCCGTACATTGGGATGGATGAGAACGCATGCAATATGGGATTCAACAAGAATAAGCTCGATTGTCCACTTCAGAAGGGCAACAAATACCGATTTACCCTCATTCAAAACGTGCCCTATACCACCCGTTTCAATGTAAGCGATCTAGTTTGTTTCATTATTGCTATTTGTTTGTTAAATGAAGTTTACCATAATGTTAAATTGTTGATTGATGAAGGTGTTTCGGTACACCACGTGGAAATTGGTGGGAAGTGGCCATAAGGAGCTGACTTGTGCCGAGTTTGATATTTATCAGGACATCGCTCTCAATAGATATTTCTCGCAGTTTGCCGGACGGAACCAATGATTAATTAATTGTCATTTTGTAAGTTATTTGCACTACATTTTAAATTATTCTCACTTATTCTCACAATTCAATAATTGAATTTTATATTTCATAATAAGATTAATAATTATATCTGATATAAGAGATATTATCTGGGATTTTATACAGGATTTTATGAAATTTTACAAGAATTTAATTTTATATTTATAATAATATTTATAACTTTTATTAATTTTTTGTTTAAACGCTTTGAAAATTTTTGGCAATGATTTTGTATTATTTATAAAAATAAATAACAATATTTGATTAGCAATTTAAATTATTTTGTAAAATTTTATTTGTTTTAAAATACATTTAAGTGCAAAATACAATGCTTATAAATTATAAGTTATAATGCAAGTAATGTAGCATAAGTGTAATGCTGTAAATACCATTATCATTCAAAGTACTGATATAGAAAGAATTATTAAATGTTAAAAAATTGTTTTATTTTTATAAAGTCATTTATTTGTAGTATTTATTTGAGAAAACTCGACCTTAATTTTATAAAACAATTGTCATTTGTTATACATTCAATAACAAACAAATTAGATAATAAGTTACATAAAAATTAAACTAATTGTAACTGAAAAACAAATATATTTTTAAGTACAGTATATTAGTTACACATCTAATGGTTTAAAACACTGACAATATTGAGAGACAAACCACTACTTGAATGTAAAAGACAGAAAAAACGGTATTTAAATATAATAAGATTTCGGATATCCTGTCGAATGGAGTTTTTGCATGAAGGTTAACAACTTAGACTCCAATCACTTAACAATCATTATTTATTAATTATAATTACTGAATAAAATATTGAAACGGTATAAATTTCGCAAATATTCAAGGTAAAGTGCACTTTAGCTAACATTTATTTCTACGGTTAGCACATATTGTATGCTATGCTTTGATTCGCACCACATTATGTGCCACACTATGGCATATAAAATATTGTCACAAATACCTAGTTTAATGCTAATGAATGGTGTATTAAAATTATTGTGTTGACTGTTTAACATTAAAACTAACCGTAATATTAAAACATTACAATAAGTTATTGTCAATTACACGGCAACCGATATAATGGGGTGTTTTGCCAGTGATGTCGATATCGAACTGCCGATCGGAGAGGAGATCCAGTTCTTCACCGAATTATTCCTCGAGATTGTTGTCTTGTTTGTTGAATACAAGATGAGAACAATTCGCCATTTTATTCAACACAAGTCACGACTGGCCGTCCGTTTGTCTCGAAAGCTAAGAATATTGTGTCAAAAAACAACTTATTTGTGATTTATTTCGTCAAATATATCCTGATTTGGGCTATAATTTCACTATAAATTGTCATTCATATCATTCAATGTAATCAATTCATTAGAAATAGAAATTAGAAATAACTAAATATGAGATTTATTTCTTTAATACATTAAATATAAAGTAATTTTAGTAATTTTTTATAAGTTAATTGACTTAAACAGTATTTGTAATGTTGCGATGAATTGTTTTTATTTTTATTACATTTTAATTTATAAACGAGTTTTTATTAACTGTTGTTTTGTATTCAAAGTGATAGCAATAAAATAAAAATAATTAAATTACGTAATAGTGTTTTAATTATTAAATGAGTGGCGTATGGCCATAAATTATAGCCTATAATATATATATAATTAATTGTTTATGACTTATAAATTATAATTATAAATCAAACACTATTATTATTTTATAAAGTTTAAAAGTTATTTATTTAATAATATAATACGTAAAATGCAAGTGATTTTGATAGACAGTTATCCCATCCCATCATCGCTAACAATAGCACAGGTAATCCTAAAATAAAAACCACTTATAGAGACACTTATATTTGCAAAATAAGCAAATAAAACCCCTTTTCATTTTGAAGTCACTGTCAAGTGATTTGAAAACTTTTACTTAACATCAAAAAGTGTTTAAACTTTCAAAAACTGGTTATTTTCGGCACAAATAGACGATTGAATGGAAAAACATAACACCAAATGAAAGTGCATTTTAAAAGTCAATTATTGGGCGAAAAATAAGGCCATAATTTACGGACACAAATGTATTACAAAAAAGAAAAACACATAACAATAAAAATACAAAACTAGAGTTATATAACCGATGGCCGAAAAACTCAAATGAATGATAAATTATTAAATTTATTATTATTATTATATTTCTACGAATTTTATTTTTAATTGAAAAATATAATTGTCTTTCAATTCAATGCATAACTAGTTTTTCCTGATTTCTTCCCCGTCTGTAAACTACATGAGGAACACAATCGACGATTAAATTCGCATTTCGATCATCACTTGTATTAAGCCGTTAGCTCTCAATAGGGAAAAGTTTGCGAAACTTTTTATATGAAAGTCCGTTGAATGCAAACCATGTATTCAATGGTTAGAAAAATGGACTCAAATTTTAGTTCAATACTCTGTAAATGCTTTTACAGAATCGGTGTGTGTTTTGTGTCCGTTTTGGTGCTGTTATATTGCAGCCTATTATCGCTAAAATAAACATGGTAGATATCATTTATTGACATTGGTGTGTATGGTGTTGTGTTTCTTATAACGGGGTAATTTAATTGTAACGTTTGGCGCCCGCCCTTGAATTATTCCCAGTGCTATAACCTAACGGTAAATGTAATGTTATTTTTTCGCTATTTATAAGTATGTCGTGTGACGTATGGTTATAGATATAACAGTGTATATATAATATAGTGTTTATAAATACACTCTACAATTGTGTATAGTGTATAGAAGTTTATATTATAAGTATTATTATTATTATAAAATCAAATGAAACTGTGTAAATATCGTTAGATTTTATATCTAAACATACGGTGTAAGTGAAGGGAGAGGTGTTGTTGTGTGCGATTGTGTGCAGAGAAAAGAAAAGTTTTATATAAAAAGTTGTGTTTAGGATATGAAGTGATATAGCAATTGATTGCAACAATAAAAAAGCGGTTATTTATTCAAATGCAATGCCAGTGAAGGGAATGAGTTATTATTTGTTGCGATCCATCAGAATATTCGCCGATTTTATCACTAGTTGTATAGGAATTGTGTATTTTGTGAACAAGAAATATCTGCCGCCGGTTACCGATGGACTGCTTCTGGAGCCGGCAGTACTCTTAGCGAAGAGGATCAGATCTGGACAGGTATGTTGTGTATAGTCATACCAGCTTTCAATTTTATTTTTACCTTAATGTTTAGATTTTTTGTGTTCATTTTTTATCAATAAATATTGATATTTGTAATGTATTTAAGATATTTTTTAAATGTCTGTTTAACATAAGCTCCACATGTTTTTTGCATTAATATTTATAGCAATATTTAATATTAATTATTTTATATAAAAGTTACAACATTTTATGTATTGAGATTAGAGTTAATGGTATAGAAATCATTAATCATAATTAGTGTATAATTAAATCCTGTTTGTCTGTAAAGTCATTGTGAATAGGTTTTTGATTTGTCAACACTTTTATTTAATTATATGTTTAATACAATACACATTTTAATATTAATTAATAATTCACCAAGTTTTAATTAGAAAGTTTATAATATTGCAATTATTAAAATAATAATGTAATCAGCTAATTTTCTAATATATTTGTATGACTTTTACCTCGCTTTCTAAAGTATTGTGGTTTTATTTTTTGTGGTTTTTTGTAAAAATTAGTTACTGAGGAAATACTTGCAGTAAATATAATATTAAATATTTAGTATATGATAAGT